TCAGTCTTTATTTTCCCAATTGGATTAAAAAGCATGTTTATACAACCTGACCAATATTTACGAAACTTTGTACACATTATCAGTACCCTTAGATGTCTTTGTATGCTTGTTATTTATTTTGGATTTTCATTATTTCTATAGGAGTTTTATATCCCTTTTCTGATTTTCCATTCATCAGTTTTGTGCAGAATACTGCTCCTTCCCTTCTAGACTGATATATATATAAAGCTTCATACATATGATCAATACCCTAAGCGAGTTAATATGACACTCGGTCGTTAGCCTGACAAAGGGACCGGTCAGTCTTGAAACGTTATGACACTTTTAATATGTACATTGTTGGTGTAAAAAGTAAAACTTTGATACCAGCTAGAAGTTATACCTATTTTTGAATTTTCCATTTTGTCCAAATTATTGCTGTTTCCCTGTTTGACCGATCCGATATTTATGAAACTTATCAGTTCCCAAGGTTAGGTGTGTGCTTTAAAGTAATTTATTTTTGATTTTCATTATTTGGATAGCGGTTATGCTGTTTTTTCTCTGAATTACATTGACTAGTTTTCCCATGCAGGCATCATTTCCTTGAGTTTTCATGCATGTCTTCTTGTACAAACCTCATGTGTTGTTGCGTCTAATGGTAAAGGCTGACATTTCACTGTATCCTTAATCCATATAAGAGTGATCCTTCTTTAGATCTCCTCTGCGCATGACTCGAAGGAAATTTGCTTCTAGCGATATTTTCTTCACCTTCAATGCAGGTTTAATTAAGACACTTTGTTTCTGTTACATCTTGGGGTGAAGGTTTGTTAAGCACAGTTCCTAGTGACTAAATACCTTCCATATGCTCCATGAGTTTCCAGGTGATAACTCAGCTGCCCTCCTTTAATGCAGGTTGACCAAACTTCTTGTAGTATCATTTCTATGGACCATGAAGACTCTAAAGTATCTGAAATAAATCCTGCATGATCTGTATGCAATTTTGTAAAAAATGATCAAGGTGCATTATTTTTTTATGACAGTGTAGTTAAATATCTGTATTTGAGGGGATTCATATTGCTTTAGATGCCTTAATACTAAATTTTGTCTGTCAAAGTGAGATAGAAGGACAGAGAAACATGTTTGCCCCTTTTCAGATCCCCAGTTCAAAGAGTCATATACCAGTTGTACTATTTCTATCAACAGAAAAGGAGATGAAAAAAAATGGTATAGCAGTAACAGTCAATAGTAACAAATCTGTGATGCCATGTGAGCAGATAATTCATCTCAATGCAGAAGAGAGAAAAACGGACTGGAGAGACAAATTTCTCTTGGCAATGAAAATGGCTAATGATAGAAATGCAAGATCTGTAGCATTTCCTGCTATGGGCACAGGTGAGAAACATCAGCATTCATTTAACTCAGAGTATTTGGTAATTATTTGTTGACCTGAAATGATGTTTAACAAGTTTACTGAAATGATTTCACACTTTTTCTTTACCCATGCAGCATTCTGGTTCAAACCCTAGCAAAGACATTTAAAACAAATCTATGACCTCTATTACATAGTGTTTTAATTAACATTCATGAACTAATAATGAACACTACCATCCTGCAGAGGTACAATAGAGAATATGATTTTTTTCTGCTATTTTAGCTGGGTTCGTACGTACTCTATGTCAATTGACGTCAAAAAATGATCTAGGGATTGTTTGCTTAAGATTATTTTGGGTTATAAAATATATATCAGTGTTCAAGCTCATTATTTAAAGTATGAATCAAAAAATAATTTCCACCTGATATCTTGAAATCCCTTATGTCAGTCGAACTGAGATTTTAAACAGGGCTTCTTTGTCCAAAGCTTTTCCTTGGAAGTTCTCTTTGAGACAAAAAGGTCGGACATCATCCCTACTCATAAAAAATCAGTTTCTTGACAAAAATTGCATTGTATATTGACCTTTCTTAATTAACACAATGGCCAAATCAACTCAAACTCTTCAATACTTAGTGCCGACTTCTCACAATTTAAGCAAAAATATTGATGTTATTACAGAAGTCTGCATTTTGAGACATTCTATCCATTGGAAAAAGTGTTGAAAAATTGCAATTACCCAGCAAATGTACCTATAACCTTTCACTACTACCCAAAGATTAGCTCAGTTGTTTCCAAATGATAATTTAACTTTCTTTCTTAGCCATGGATTTTAAACCTGAAGCCATTGCCAGCAGTTTTGTTGATGCGTTGGTGGAATTTGTAGACCTTGATCCAGACTGTGTAAAAGAAATCCATCTGGTGATATTTGAACAACCAATGGTGCAAAAGTTCATTACAACCATGCAGACCAGTTTTCAGCAACACAAACAGAAAAAGCCTAATAACTGGATGATGCAGAAGGTCTCAAATATTTTCAGTCTGATAAGTATGTACTTACTATTATTATGTGACAATTTGTTAACTACACAAGAACTGTCCTAGCCTCTCCATCTCTCTATATTTACATTTCCACTGCAAGTTCCTCTATAAAAATTAACATAAGAAATTGCATTCATAGAGCTATGAATGCAATTAGATCAGCGTCATTTTGTAGTTTCTCCTTTCACCTCGATTAACATGAGACATCCGTTAGAAGCAAACATTTTGGTGACGTTTTTAAGGCTGTTCCAGGAATCTGAAGACACAGACATTTCAATATCAAAAATATAAGGAAGCTTCTTTGTTTAGGTCAATAATAACTAAAAAAAAAATGAAATTTGGGAATATGTATGTAACAGATTTGCGTTCGTACCAGCTTGACCATTGAAAAATTTCTTTCAATCCTTATATCACTTGCTACATATGCTTATGAGATTGTATATGATAAAAGTATTTCCAATACAATTTAGTTTATACAATAAAGTATGAGATAACTACTGTTTGATTAAGGGTAGGATTGTTTGTTGTATTTATTGGCAGGGTGCTGATTGTGCTAAGATAAACGGTACCAACAAGATTAACTATTTTATTACTACTGTCACTGTTATGAAATATTCGTCCAAGTCCTTTTTATAAAAAAAAATCACATGCTGCCATGCATTCTACAGAATTGTAGTTGCATGTTTGAAATTTTGATGTTTAGAATAGAAATAAAAAACAACTAAAAAAAACAACTGAAGGAGCTTAACTTGGGACATTTACAGTATAAAGCCTACACTTCACTAGTGTTGCCAAACAGGAATTATGCAAGAACAGCATCAAAATAAGTGTCCAATCTATAGGACCACAAAGCATATGAAAATCTTGACAGGGGAATTTACTCTCAGCAAGAAGAACTCCTTGGGTTTACTCATCTTCCATATATAGAAGTGAGAATACTCCAAGTCAAAAAGCACTTAGAGTGGAACTCTTCTTCACGATTTTAACTAATGCAGACTGTACCCTTAACCTCAAGTGTTCGTTGTCTTGGAGTGCTTGTTGTTTTACAATGCAAGTGTAAAAGTACAGTGTAGTTGGTATAACTGTAGGTAAAAGAGTGACCTTGAGACGTGCAGAAGTGCTTGCAGTGTTAAGGATTAAAGTACATGTTGTCGTAGGAGTGCTTGCAAGTAGTCTTAGTGATGTGTTAAATAAAAAAAAAATCGTGTTAAATTGAAGGAGTGCTTGCTAATATTAAGTTAAACAGTTGATTGGAGGTTGATGAATTTAGAAAACATACTAAAACTTTCCTGTATAAGGATCAGGATCGGTGTGTCTGATAATACATTTATATTACTTTAGATTTATAGTCATCTGCACAAATTATGTAAAATATGCCATAAAACTAATTATATTAATGTTTATATGTAATAGGTGGGAAACACTCCACAGATCAAAGATTTGAATGGGAGCCAAGAATCAATGTCATACATCAAGACAAGTCACGTTTCCCTATTATGGTGTATGGGCCTGACCAGAGAAGGATATCTGATGCTATTTCTGCTTTGGAAACTCTCCTAGAGAAAAATTTTAGGGAGAAAATATTTAGTGAGGATATCATCAAAAACTTCAGCAAATCACAGGTAAATCCAATGTTGGTCTTGCAAAACTTACTTCATGGTGTCAATTACACGAGTATCCTTAGGACTTTTGAAAGATGTCAACTTCACAATGTTGTTCGGCATTGTAAGTCATATTCTGGACAATCTTATTGAAATAACTGCTAAGGGGACTTGAAAACTTATTTTGGGGGTGGGGGTGGGCGGCTGATAAGATTAATTTTCAAGTGAGTATTATTGAATCAGTAATGGACACAGCATTGTAGGCTGATGAAAAGACCAGTATCTAAAAGATGAAGGCTGTCCTGCTGAAAATGAAAATACTGAGAAGTTTCATACAAGTCAAACAGTTTAGTACAATATGTGACTATATCAAGACCTGTGTTCAAAGCAAAGTCCTACATTTCTCCCCATCTGATCCTCAACGTTTTTAGCTCGCCTATTCGAAGAATAGTAGGAGGGGGCTAATGTAGTCCCCCTGGTGTTGGCGTGGGTATCCCACTTCACGTTGATGTTTTTGGGCAAGTTTTTTCCCAGACAGTGTTGGATCATCACACTCAAT